ATTTACCGTCATTAGTTACTAGAAACCGTTAGAAACAAGCAAAGACTAGGATAATGTGGGAGTAAAACGAGATATAATTAAAAGAGCTAGAAGAATGTATCGGGAACCATGCCTATACTCGCAGAATGGTGGGACTAATCTAAGTGTAAGGGTGTTGTAATTGTTAAAACAAATTACAAAGCCGAAGGATATTCAAATCTACTCAAGAAAAAAGAATTAAATTTCGAATGCAAATGATTTAAAGAAAGATGAATAAAAAAGAATGATTATTCAAATTAAAGAAAGTTCAAGATTTTTTTTCAGTTTGTTTGTAAAACATTATGTAAATGAATTATAGAAAAGTATATATATATTCGAGGATATTTATATAAGGATAGATCATGATTTTACGAACTTAATTATAATTTTTAATTTTAATTTTTTTATATTATTTTAATTTTTTTTAATTAATTTAGTTTGATTATATTTTTATCATATTATTTAATAAAGATTTAGTATTATTTTAGTTCTAACGTTTATTATTGGACGAATATTATAGAAAAGTATATATAATCGAGGATATTAGTCTGATTTAGTATCATTTTAGTTCTAACGAGGATATTAGTCTGATTTAGTATCATTTTATTCTAACCTTTCTTATTTGACAACGATTATAATCTTCCAATTCTTATTCTAAATTCTTCAAAATGTTACAATTAAAATTAGCACCAAAAATATAATTATACTTATATTTTCAAGTATTAAACTTAATAAATTTATTTGCGTAATATACATTAAAGTGTACTCAATAACCACTTGATTAAAATAATTTTAAATAATTTAAAAAAATTGTATAAATATAAAATTACTACTATAATAAATAAAAGTAATAATAATTTACATAACATAAAATAGATTTGTTTTTACCTTTGAATTCCTACGTGAATATCTAACAGGCCCTGATTTACTTCGGTCCAAATTGTTATAAATCCGAACTTAACTCAGGGTGTTTAATCAGTATTGGGAGAGCAATTAAGAATCCAAGGTTTATTAAATCTTTCCTTGAGTACCTTTTCTTTATTAACTCTTTCCTTTTTTATTAATTTTATTTTCAAAATGTCATCCGATTGTATGTGTGAAAAAACAATTTTTCTTAGCTATTTATATAGCCATAAAACATTATATGCATTTGCATATTAAAATAATAATTTTTGGAAGAAATAAATACATAAAATAAAATCCATCATTTAAATTAATCTTGTTACATAAACTATAAAAAAAATGTAAAATTTGTTTTGCATATACAAATATAATTTTTCGCAGAAATAAACACATAAAATAAAATCCATCATTTAAATTATCTTTGTTCCATAAATATACTTTGCATAATCCAACAAGCTAGTAAATATATTTTTTTTCCAATAATATTAAGTAAAAATAGAATTATAAATTATTTGATATTTAATATCAATTTTTTACTTAATTAAAAATTGATTTATGTAAAATAAAAAAATGTTTTTGAAAATTTTTTTTTAAAAGATATTATATAATCAAATTTTTATTCATTATGATTAATTGCTTTTGACAATGCATTTTAGCAATGCAGTATTTTGTCATACCCATGTAATTCCCACATCTTATCCAAAAGAATTTACCCCATAGGAAATGGGAAAAGTGATCTCAACTTTTTAAAAAGACAATATACATATTTTCAAAGGCATGAGAGTGAAATACCTTCAAGACCAAAACCTCACTATATTATGCTCTCAATATAGGCTGCTCAACAGTGTAACTATCCTTTGCAACATGATCTTACATGGTGACTTTTCGCCAAACAATTCTGCTTTGAGCAAAACTAATATCCAATTGCCATAGGCATTATCGTATAAAAACTGATCTCAGCTCGAATCAATGAGAAAGTCTATACAATCCTCACAACTCAGTTAGGCGTGGTATTAAAGGTGGCTGCGAGTCTGCCGCTCATATAACCCGATCTATCTAAAAATAATTTACTAAACAAATATCTAATTAAAATTGATTTTAGCAAAGCACACAACACGATAAAACGATCTGGCTTTTAAAAATCCTTCATTAAGGGCTTTCTATGCTACTCCAGCTACATTTTAAATTGCTATGAGAATCCTTCCATCTTATAATATGGAATATATGCTTTCTTTTTCAAAAGGATTTGGGAGATCTTCTATATTTGATCTTTTTTTTGTCTAGAAACGGACAGTTTAGTAAAAAAATAAATAAAAGCAGATAATGATTTTATAAGCGGTACAAAAGGATGGGCGAGACATAGGCCTTCTCTTAAACGTCTACAAAAGAGATTTCTGTCAGCTAAGATCCCACCAACTGTTAAGTCTCTTTAAAGAGCTTATAGCTGAAGAACTAACATATCTTGGCTCACCAGTTGGAGATTACTTATCAGTTGAAGAATAGTTTAAACAATATGTATGAGCTATACATACAGCTTCTCACAAATAAATCTTTCTTTTTAATTAAAAACTGATTCAATATACTGGATCCTAATGCTTTGTGGTCAACGCCCCTATTTAAACATCCTGAACGAATCATATGAATCCTTAATAAAAAACATTATGGAAAAAATAACTAATCTTAAGTTTAATTCCAATTCGTGGCATCAAGCCACTCTCCTCTACAATAAAGAATTACGATCACCTATAACCATCAATATGTGGTTTTATTTTCGAAATTGGCAAACTCCAAAATAATAACTGATCATTTATCCTTGCCAGATGCGCTGTTTGACGAAGCTTATATCATATGAAAAGCCTCAGTCGGCGATGAATGATAAACAAAAGGATTGGGATAATCTGATATTGCAAGGTCCTTTTAATGCCTCTTTCGATCCTGCTATTTGAAGATATAACCCTATTAGCCTTTCCCAACCAAGGTTCTAGATATGAATACCTAGAAGCTATTCCCTCTAAAAATCCTGATCGAGATGTCAAACCAAGAATTCAACTTTGAAGTAGCCACTCGCTTAAATGTGGCACCATCAGTCTCATATGAGTACACCAAGTGCAAGAAACAACTAAGCCAAATTGGTTGTCATTGCCTCCAATGTAACATATCAGATGTAATTCTCTCATTAAACGGGCTTTACAGTCCGCGCGCTTTTCTGCTACTTTAGAACACTCTGGTTTCTTGATGGAAGAAAGTCCGAAGGAATTACAATTTTTAGCATGGTGGTTTTCTGAATTGATTCTCTCTTACCCACAACAAAAGGCATCTTAAAATCATAAGACTTTGAAACTAACAAATATGTGAACATTCCTGATGAATATAAATTTGTACCAGTTGTCACTACAACCTTAGAATTTTTTGGAAGCCAGGCCCAAACCTAATTAAAAAGCTTGGCAGAGCCAAAAGGATTAAGTTAGGAGACTCAAAAAAAGGCGTTTACTTATGTCAACGCATATAAATCAGATTATAAAATCTAATTTTATATGTTTCATGGGTTCATGGGTTCATTTTCCGAGCAGCCGAAATGATCTAGATCCTTTTTCCTTCCCTTCTTTGTTTATAATCTTTTTCTTCTCTTTTTCAGATTAAGAAATATAAGTCCCTTTTTTCTTATTTATATTTGCGATTCTGATAAGATTTCTTTTCTTATATACTAATTTCTGTAATAATTAAATTAATTTTTCCCGTAAAATTATAATTATTAATCTATATCATTATTTAATATATTCATGCATTTATAATGTATTTATAATATAGTAACATATTTTGATTATAATTATAAAATTAAAAATAAAATATTGTTAAGATATATATATAAAAGAAAGTATAAATATAAATAAAATAATCTTAATAATAAATAATAATGAAATATTAGCCGAGCTCCTTAGTAAAAGTTTAATTTATTACTAATTAGTACTAGCCAATTTTTAGGCTAAGTTTAGTTTGACTTAGTCAATTTTTAGGCTAGGCCTAATAACTCTAGGCGAGATATTTCGCCCATTACTCAACACTAAATATCATAAAATTTTGATCTTGAATATGATTAGTTGGAAAGAATTATAATCAAGTTTTATTTACAACTTTAATTTAAAAAATTAACCCACATTTATAAAAATAATCTAACACTTTTTATCTAAAAATTTAACCATTACAAGTTAAAGTTACCGTTTACAAAATATAACTAGTTACTGGTTAAGGTAACATTTTTCAAAATATAACTAGTCACAGTACAGTTCAAGTTACTCAAAAGAGGTATGTATACTAGTTAACATCTAAATTTGTTTATGCAATTTCAAATTATTTGATTATATGATAAAATAAAAGTATGTAAATCACCCACTGGTATTTAACGATCCACAATATCACGAGTATATCTTGGAGAATGCAATATTTACTATACGCTTTTGGAGTAGCCTGGGGCAGCCTATGGTAGTGTAGTGCAGTGCAAAAAGTATCCTCCGTAATTTTAGTAAAAAATTCTGGTGCCTAATATATTAAATGGCTTCATTATATAAATTAAAGTGATGTAAAATAAATTCTCCAATTTTGATAATATTCTTTATTACAATCCTTTTACAAAAAATTAATATTTAAAATCTAGTAACAACTCCAAAAATTTTTTATCATGTAAAAGTTTAATTAAATTTGTGAATTTAAAAATAGCTTTAATCTAAGATGTATAGTTTAAAACTTTTATTATATAGATAGGTGTCAATTAATTGTTACAAGGATAATTAAATTTAAGAGTTCTCTATTTTAGTCCCCATAATATTCAATTTAGCTCATATTATAAGTATAATTTATTTATCATTGCATTTAAATATTAATTTTTTAACTCGAATTTAATTTTATACTAATTAAATGATTGTTAAAGAAATAAGTTTTAAAAAAATGATCATAATAGACTTATAATTTTTAATATAGAATGATTTTGTTTCTAAGAGATTATATCATTCATATAAAATAAAATTGAAAGTATAATTATTTTTAGTAACCAAGAGTATTATTTAAAATAAAAGATCAATTTTATGGGCGCCCAACATGATAAAATGGAAGTAGGGGATCTCAAACAAGAAGCCAACCGTGCTAGTCCTGTCAATATAATAGTTTCTCCTGATGGTATGATGTACGATTATTTAAACTTACCTGGAAGGGTAATAATAAATGAAGAAGTTGGAGCCAGCGGAGAAAGTCTATCTACTAGAAAGCCAGTTAAGATTGAAAAACTATACGAATACGTTTCTGCACTTAGGAGCAACTCATTTAAATTCCTGTTGAGAGAATACGAAGAGTTATGCGAGATAAGTCCCCAATGCCCTCAAACAGTGGGCTTGTCAGAAATAAACCAATCCAAAAATAGATATGGCAACATAGTTCCCTTTGATCACTCCAGGGTGAGACTCAAGCCCATGATGGGTAAGGAGTCAGATTATATCAATGCCAATTTTATTCCTGGTTATAAAAATGCGCGGGCTTATATAGCTTCACAAGCACCGTTACCAATGACGGTTAATGATCATTGGAGAATGATATGGCAACAAAGAATATGCATTATTGTAATGATAACTGGTCTTGTCGAAAGAGGGCGGCGCAAATGCGAGTTGTATTGGCCAAAACCCGGGTTTCCCATTAAATATGGTTTAGTCGAAGTCACGAATATTAAAGAAGAGGTGCGTTTGGATTATTTGGTACGAATATTGAGAGTCAAAATAGGCAGAGAGAAGAGGTATATTCCAGTATTTAAAATGGCCTGATATGGGGTGTCCCGAAGATTCCCTTCAATTAATTAAATTCATGACCGAGGTTCGCTCTCATATCAGCCCTAAAAGTCGACATCCTATCTTGATACATTGTAGCGCAGGGGTAGGCCGGACTGGTACTTATGTAGCTATCGATCGATTAATACAAGAAATTCAAGCTAAACATAGGAATGTAGACATTTTTAACACGGTTTATGATATTCGCAAAAGTCGTTCGATGATGGTTCAAACCGTAAGGCAATACATGTTTATTTACGATTTCCATTTGGACGCCTGGCAAATCGAGGGAGACCCAGAAGGTTTCAAAAATAGGAAAATGGTAGAACGGCAAAAAGAATTGGACAGTAAATACAAGGAGTTGACTAGTAAAGACGATTTGATGGTAGAACAGAAGGCCACCTACGATTTGTATGAACTATTTCTAATGGCTGCATGTTGTTGTTGCCCTTTTCTGTTTGATAAAAATTAAAATATACTTCAAAATTCAGTATTTTACCCATCTATAATAGTAATAGTAATATGAAATAAATAAAAATTATTTTAATATTTATTTTACAAATTGCATTTAATATTTAATAAATTGAGATATTAACGCTAATTTCTACTAAAGTTTTTAGCAGGGTTCTAGATTTAACCCTTACTCCAGATTCGGGACTCTTTTTTCCCTAACCACTGAAGCTAGACTTAAAAATATTTACTGAGCGGCTCCATTAATTTTAGCCCAATTGATTTCTTCAAGACTAAATTAAAATATTATAATACGTCCAATCTTGGTATTTTTTTACTTATAATGAATTAAGATATAATTGTCCTAATTTGGTTACCGTTTATAAGTATTTAAAAGACATAATTTCATTTCATTTTGTATATAAAACATTAAATATATTAATTCGAATATATATTTTATAAAATTTTATTTTTTTATATAAAATTAACTATAATATAATGTAAAGGAATTTGGAGTTATGAAAGAGCTTATTATCTAGTTTTACATAATGGGTACAATGATATGAATATTTTAGTAAAATTTGTAAGAAAATTGTTTCCCCTCAAATACACTAAAAGAAATTTATACAATTTGGATATACCTTTTTTTAGTATTGGATTTTTTTTCATTAGCAAATACGTATATTATATAAAAGACAGTGTGAATTTGAAAAATTTCTACCAAGAGCAAGTTGGGCTTATATTTATTAAAAAGTAATTTTATATTTTATCAGTTTTAATAAACATATAGAAAAATAAAATTTAAAAAAAGCCACAATTAATCACTTATAAAAATTTTATTTTAAGGAAATTGTTATATTACCTGATTTTTTAAAATTAAAATTATTAAAAATAGTAAAATCCTTAATGTGTGCGTGAAAGTAATCATCAAGGTTTTCGCGATTCATTCAAAAAAATATTCCCTAAGCATCGAGATTTAGCTAATAGATGTCCAAACTTTTGCACCGTCTATGAACAAAAATCATTAGACTTGTTTTATATTTTCCTGTATATACAGTTGAACGTTTTAAAAACTCAAATCGAGCCGTTTAACAACAATTGTAGCATGGCTCCTCAAATAATGGACAATATATTTTAAATTTTTATATATCTTAAATTCAATTTGGTAGTTAACTCCCTGATTTTATCTACTCTATTCTCCCAGTTTTTAATCGAACTTCAAATTAAAATATGGGTTGAGAAAGGCGCTATTATATACTCATCATCCCATAATGTTGTAAATTTTTACAAAGTAGGAAGAAATTCTTAAAATTAAAAAATTATAAATCAACTTTAAAAATATTGTTATTGAAAAAAATTAGTAAATATAAGAGATGGTATTGTTTGTAAAATAACTCGTATTAATTAACAATGATAATTTAATCTTTAATATGTTTCTAAAAATTTTAATTATACAAAATTAAACATTTTATTATTTTAATTTATGTAAAATTAAATCTAAACTTTTTTTTAAAAAAACTATCATTTAAGATTGTAAAACTATACATTGGATATTTATAGATTTTTCCATATTGATACGTAAATAAATATATTGCGATTAAACTACAATACATCGAAATTTAAAATATTGTTTACCGTTCGATACATAAAATTATCGAATACAGTATTGTAGTTATGATGTGTCAGCCTTTTTTAATAGGATAAAAGAAGAATTCCACTGGCTGAGAAAAGGCCCGTTAACGTTTATTATAATTAAACTGGAAATATGCTTTATCATAAGACTTGCAAGCAAATCCGTCATAATGACATTCATAAGACGAAAGCCGCTCTCTCATTCAGCGGTATACTATATGGAATTGTTAATAAAATTTTGAAACTCTTTCAAATCACGTGAGAATTTATTACTTTCATTATTATCATCAAAATATTCCCTCATTTCATTTATTGCGAGATTCACATCGAGCTTCAGTCGGAAATGAATTTGTTTAATTTGCTCTTTCCCATTACGAATGTGAGGCTCTGCCATCGAGTTATTATTTTCCAAATATAATGAACTTTTAATTCCATAAGAGCAAAAATTATATAATATTATATAGTATCTTTATTTACTAAAATTATCGGAATCAGTATGAATCTATATAATGTCTATTTTGAAAAAAATATAGGGGAATAAAAGCAAAAATTCAAATTGCATTCAACAAAATAGGCATTTATTTTTTAAAAATGGGAATGAAGTTTAATTTTCTTAATTGTATTTTATTTGGTTAAATAATATATGATAAATTAGATTAAAAACAAAAATGTACTTATTAAAAAAAATAATGAATATAAGAATATTAGAAATATGGCGCATATAAATTTTTAAATACAATTATTTTAAAAAATTGAGATGATTATATTGGTTTCTATATGGAACCTTGGATAGCAAAACAGTTGTTTTGGTGAATAACCATAGTATTAATGGCTTTCTTTGTGTAGAAAGCTTCATTACAATTATCACTTATTCCACTTAATTTTCTGACTTAATGTTTAACCATCTCAATAAAAAAAACCAAGAGTATATTTCAGAGACCTGCAGAGGTACCATTTGCACGGCCCGGCCCTGATTAAAAAAGTTTTTACCCGGCCTGGGGTTCAAAATTTTAGGCCCGGCCCGACCCGGATATTTAAAAAAAAAATTTTGGGGGCTCGGCCCGGCTTGAATTTTTTTAAAAAAAATTTTTAGGCCCGGCCCGGAAAAAATTATATTCGACCTGGTATATACAAAAAATTCATCTATTTCGTATTTTATCATATTTTTCGCCAAGTATTATCATTTAATAAGCAAGTATATTCGCTAATGTTGTTAAATGGCTCGTTTTGAACCGATTTTGAAAACGGCTAACTCAATATGCCAGAAAAATATTGACTAAGCCTCGAAATTTTGATACTATATGTCTAGACCTTTGCTCCATCTATGAGCAAAATTTTCAGGTTTGCATAATATTTTTCTGGATAAAAAACTGAGTTAGCCGTTTTTAAAAATCGGCTTAAAACGAGCCGTTTAACAACACTACACATATTTTATTTTATTTTTATTATAAACAAATATTTAGTATATTACAAATTGATACTACAAAAAATTTGTGTAAATAATATTTTGAGAATATACTATATTCATTGTATTTATAAAAAAAATAAAACTGATATTTTAATTAATAAAAAATATAACATATATTATATAATAATGTATTTAATCCTTTGCGTATTTATTCCATGGCAGAACTATAATTATAGTATGTAATAAATACTATGAGTGTTAGCTATTTAATCCTTTGCGTATTTATTCCATGGCAGAACTATAATTATAGTATGTAATAAATACTATGAGTGTTAGCTAGTGTTATCTTTCACCAAACATTATATTAATCATAACTATATATAATCATAATAGCCATATCTAATTGACGAATATAATAATTCATGTAGTATAAATTTTTTAAAAAAATACGGCCCTGCCCGGGTATATTTTAAAATTTAAAATACGGCCTGGCCCTGGCACCTGGGCCTGGCCGGGCCGGGCTTAGGGCCGGGCCTGCAGGTCTCTGGTATATTTGTTATATTTTAAATATTTTAAAAGATTATAATATTCAACGTTATTTGAATAACATATTTGTCATACAATATTATAACGCTATATTCAATATTATCTTATAAAGGTCAATTTAATTGAATACTTGTAGAAGTTTAATTTAATAATACAAGAATTGAAATGAAAGATATTATTGTTTTGAAGAACTATTCTAGGTATAAAAATATTGGTGGCAAAGGGATAAAAATTACATTTGCAATGTGTGTATATATGTATGACGAAGAATTTGGTTAGAATAATGGTTGAAGCACTTCTGTTGGATATGCTGAAAAATTAATTCACGTGTAACCTCACAACTCTGGATGGGCTGAAGATAAAGATATTAGCCTGATAGCAACAAGCCTTTTGTTATTGCTTGGAGATACTTGGCTCTAGAATATTAGCCATTTTTAAGGTTTTTGAGATCAGATAATTCACGTTTATGTGCCCTGGAAAGCGATTCAGAATATTTACAGTATAACGAATGTCCACAATTGGTACATTTTGAAGGAAGATCGTACCCAAGAAGAAGTAAAAGAGCAATAAGTATTTCTCCAGGAAAAGACTGAGAATTTTATGAATTGCTAACATTCGTATCCCGATTTAGAATTCAGTATATTATTCTAATGAATCCCTCATAAGAACTAATAACCAGATTTAGGCAGTAGGAGATAATCCTAAGCTTTCTTGAGTGTAGACTGAATCCTTTGTGGGTAATTCATTTAAAATTGATTCATTTCTATCAGATTTGAGTTTAGTCTAAGGGGCGTTATTGCGCCACCGATTGGAGAATCCAATGAGTAAGTTCGACGATGGACAAATTTTTAGAGCATTTTGGGATTATGTAACTGTTATGAGAACATTTCGACTTTGATGTGTTAAAGGATAAATTGGTAACAGGCTCATGATTATTAATAATGTCTGGGATGTTAATGAATGTAGGTATGTCGCAATTAAGCTATCATTAAATAACAAGCATTTAATATAGGTTATAAAACTTGAAAAGAATTTAAGCCATCAAATGGCTAGTATTTTAAAATTGGAAAGAATATATTATTGTCTAAACTAGAGTTCAGCAATGAGCAGGTTTTTAGTCCAAAAGCCGGCCCACTCGTTGTTTTGAAATTTATTTAACTCGCCAACCCGGTCACTTATAATTTTTAAAAAATTTACCCGCCCGCCCGTTCATTTATCTATAAATATTGTTCAACCGGTCCGCCCGCCTAATGTTTAAAAATTATTTAAATGGCTGGTTTGGCTCTTTATTTATTTATTTAAATGTATTTTTAATTACACATATATAATATGCAATATTATGAAATTAAACTATTATTTTTACTAAATTAAAGTCTGTTCTGCTCATTTCGCCTAAAAAATATCAAAATCTACCCGCCTACGCCCGCCCAAATTTT